AGGGAGTGGGGAGAGAAGTACTTCCTCATATGAACAAAATCTTCAAAATGACGTTCAAATATAGAGGGGAAAAGTGGTTACATAAGGACCACTGATAAAGAGCCTGTCCCTTTCGGGTTACGAGAAAGAAAGGTTTATCTAATTTACTATAGAGCATGTGAAAAAACGCTGACTCGAAACCCATGCATCGCCTGTTGAATTTCTCGTGACCATGACGTCACGCAGTGAAGCAAACTCTCATGTTTGCTGTATTATGTTACAGTCCCTTCAAAATGTTGTGTTTTATCGTTCTCCTTCTTTCCTTCTCCAGCTCTTCATCAGATAATCCCATCCAAGCCAAGAGATATACCGTCAATCTAGATCTTCCTCCAGAGCAAAGATGGCTCGATATTGCCAAAGAATACAAAGAACATGGCCGTCAGATTGTGGATGTTTTAAAATCTATGTTGCCACCGAAAGTATTCCCTCTTTTGGAGCAGTTAGCTCTGTTTGCAGACAACCATTTTCCTGCTCCGTATCCTGACGAAATGAGAGGGTATGCAAAGGGTTTTAATATCTCTCTTGCGGATATGATTTTGTGCAATATCCTATACGACTTGACAGCTTATTGCACAAGCATTGTTGCACAAGATAAAGATGGCAACGTATACCATGCTAGAAATCTCGATTATGGACATGCAGCTTATCTTCGAAAGACGACATATATGGTGGATTTTCAGAGTAAAGGTAATTCCTGGGATAGATAAAAGAACGATCTATTGATTATTATTGATGAAATCCTTGAACTTTGTGTGACCATTTTGTGGTGTGGACTTCACCCTTAAATTGGCGACATGCATCCCCGGGGCGTAATTACTCCCCTAGCTTTGCTATACGGTTATGTGCTGCGCTGTTTTTTTGGCTTTTAGGTCTTAGGTAGAAAATATTATTTCTTACTTTTTGTCTGGGATAGGATATGGTTTTTGTCTGTTATACTTGCTAGTTTTAGTCTGAATAGAGGATTGAAAGTTTTTCAACAATAGCTATGCTCTCAGGTCAACATGGAAACAATGTCAATTCTGTTCAAGTGCTAGCAAAATAGGACTTATATATAATTCTTAGGTTTAATCTGGGATATGGTATAAATTCAAAATTTTAGGTCTGGGATATGATAGGGAGAGGGTTTGATCTTCCATGTCCTGGGATGGATAAGTGGAAGGGAGGTGGGGGGAGGGGTGAAAGTTAACATTGAATCCTGCATAAACCTGCTCCTGTGTGCATGACATCAACACATGTAGCCAAAAAGATGGGTGACAGAGGCAAGACCATAATGTAACTTCAAAGTTAAGAACAAGACATCCTCAGAAAGAGCTGTCATCCTTCATTACCAAAGATCAAGAAGCCTCACCCCTCCCCCAAGAGTTAATCTCACTAACATTTTACTATATTTATTATAACAGGAAATACTGTCTACAGTGGGACTGCATTTAGTGGGCAAGTTGGTCTGGCAACAGCACAAAGACCTAATGCAGTAACCATCACAATAGATGAGCGTGACCAAGGAAATTTTATAGAGAATCTCATGATGTTCATCTTAGACAAGAAAGCCCTGCCCAGCATGTTTGCAGTAAGGAATGTTGTTGCTGCAGATAACATGGACTTCAATCAAGCTGTGAAGTACCTTTCAGAGGTTCATCTTGATGCGGATGTATATTATATAGTTGGTGGGGTAAAGGCAGGAGAAGGAGCTGTCATCACTAGAGACAAGCTGAAGGCTGTCAATGTTTGGAAACTTGATGCACCACAAAGGTAACGTTAAGCCTTTGACTAAGGATGGTTGTTATATTCACTCAATAGTGTTGTTTAAAAGCATTGTAATCTTCTGTAATAAAACATATAGATTATAAATATTTTAAAGTTTGGGGTGTACTTTCATTCATAAATGAGTCCATGTACGGAGTTTACAGAGAGAAATGAATATAAATTTATAATGATTAATAATGAATAATGTAGTGACCACTGATGCAGCTGATTTCACTTTCTGAGATCTTTTTAGGAGTGAATTTTAGAATCGGAATGTTAACCATATGTGTTATTTAGTAATAAGCTGAACATAAACTACTTTTACAGTCAAGTTTTCAAAATTAATTACAGTTGAATCTCCTGTGAGTACAGGGCTGGAAATAACGGCGGTCAAAGGACAATGTCCTTCCAAATTCACTAGATGACTGGCCAAATTGGGTTTTGAAAGGATCCAAATTGACCTGCCACATTTTAAGACAAATGAAAAAACAATCATTTCTATATTTTATATTTTGTCCTTTCAAAACTCAATATGACCTTCCAAAAATGAATTTGGTAGGACATCTTGACCTGCATATGTCTGACCATTATTTCGAGTCCTGAAGTAGACATCCTTGGTAAACGGAAAATTAGTGTGTCTGTTGGTAAAGCTGTCCGCTTGATAGAAAGCATAAACACAGTGTTTATAATATGGAAATATAAAATCAGGGTTTTGGAAAGCTGTCCGTTATTAGAGCTGTTCTGTAACGAGAACATCCACAAGACAGTGGAGATTGGAGATTCCACTGTAGTATACACTAGATTAATTTCAATGCTGGCAAAACATTGCAAGTAATGCAAATTTTGGTCTCATTTTCAGATGGTTTTTGGTCGAGACAAACTATGATCACTGGACCACTCCACCGACCAGTGACGACAGACGAGATCCAGCTATACATGCACTCAACAAAACTGGTCAGGCTAATGTTGATCTAATAGCACTCTACAAAGTCCTGTCAATCAGTCCAGTGTTGAATAACAGCACTGTTTATACAACTGTCATGCAAGCAAAAGATGGCAGTGCCTTTAATACATGGGTCAGGCAACCTTGAAAGCACCCACCCATTTATTAGCTGTCATCATATCATAAAAACGTCGTGTTCAGGGGGGATCATCTTTATGCTGTAAAATTTATCTTTTGATATAACAAATATGTAGTAAATGACAAAAGAAATAACTTGGATACCTTCCTGTTTTCTATTGATCTCTATTGTTTTATCACAAATTTCATAAAATAATTCTATACCAGTGTAATAAAAAAAAATTCCAAATTTTTCAAAAATGCTTTCCTTTACAGAATAATTCAAAAGAAAATCATGTTCACTGGAACCTTGTAACATTTTAGTTTTCTTGACCCATTATTAGCAGAGATATATGTACCTAAACAAATCATATTTTTTAGATCTCAAAATTATGCTCAAAGTAGCATTGTAACAGACCTAATCAGCTAGCATGTCAGCAAAATTGATACTCACAGTTGGTTTGAATTGGGTGGAAATGTTTATTACAACTTGTTAGTCAACTATAGGTCTATCAACTTTTTTTGTAAGGGGAGGCGATGGTAACTATACATACAGCATATATTGTCAAACTGAATACAAAGAATGTAAATTACTTTATAATGCAGAGAGAATAAAATCGTTGTTCTTGTTCATATGGATCTGAGGGAAGGGTTGCCAATTACTCATATTTTCAGTAGGGAGGTGCTTGAAGCAAATTTTTATTTTGGACAATGAACAGTCCCCTAGTAGTGGAAAGCGCTCTTTGATCTTACAGACATTACTGAAAAATATTTTTTTGCTGATGGATATATTATTTTTAAAACAAGCAACATTTCAAATGATGAACAAAATAGTGAAAACTTGTTGTAAGCAATCTTTAAACCGTAGTCTCCCTCGCAGCCCTAACATTGGCTTTTGTAAGAAAATTTGATGAAACTGTGACCGAGTTAAGGCTGCGAAAAGAGAATTACCTAAATCTATAGAGCAATGCAAAATACAAAATGATTTTTGTTTGAAATAATTTTAATTGTTAAATTCCTTTACTATCTACAAAAATGTACAGTTATTTCTTATGTTTGTCAAGCAACAAATAATTAATGGATCTATTATTAAAAAAATTTAACATATCAATAATTTGATTTACTTCCATGAACCAAACTAAAGGGAAATTATTGTCTTTGACATTTGCTTTCATTTGGGATTCTCTTACACAAAAAAACTTGTTATATGGTCAGTGACACCATTTTTTTTAGCAAAGTATGATAGTAAAAGTTTTTGAAAAGATATAAATTTAACACCATAAAAAGTAGGTGAAACAACTTACTGGTGTTTCAGACGCCTCACACTTGTCTACTGCTAGTTCCCACCATTTTGACTATAATGATAGCAAAATACTGTACTTCAAAAGATATCAGATAATGTTTCATTGTTTCTTTGCAAAATGCAAATAATTTTGCAGTTTCCATAAAGGAACAGAAAAACGGTTTTGGGAGAAAATTTCAAACATAAAGAAATGACAACTCCCATCATGCTTTGCTGAACAAAATAGCATCACTTCATAATTGCCTAGGAAGACGTAAACCCCATGAATTATTAGCTCAGTGTTTGATTGACATTTCTCATTTCAATCCAAAATTGTGACCCTTTTGCAAAAATGTACACGGAAGACTTTCTGTTGAGCACTACACGACTGCCAGTTAGTGGCGCATTCACAGTTGCCTAACGTTTAGATTTTGGCTGCCTTATGACAGCCACAGTGGTTTACTGGATTGCTGGTAGCTAGCTAGTGGCTTAGTAATGACTTTGTCATTATTAGTGCATATTAATTACTGATTAAAGTTTCTGGTCAAAATTCAAGAGTTTTTGCTGCAAGTTTCTAGTTTTCCATGACAGCCTTCTTTGAAAGCACAAGAAATTCAATTAACCTACTCATGAAAAAACTGTATTGAAAATAATAAATAATGTAATTTTTATAAAGCATTATTGTTTTTGTTAGTTGCATTATCTTCACTGTTATAATGTTAGGTGCTACTTGCTTCACCAAATAATATCTATAGTATGAATTCTGTAAAATAGAGTCATTTCAGGAAAGAGTTAGCTCATACACAACTTTCAAAAATGACAGTAGTTCATGACCGCCAATATTGGGGAACTAGTGACGAATCATGAAAACGAGACCTCAAAGGCCTTACATCTAGAAATCACTACGAAGATCACATGTGCGGTGGTGTCCAAAAGTTTGAAAGTTGTATTGGTTTGTTATATATAACAAACCACTCTTGCAAGACACCATGGAAGCTGAATATATGGACGCTGGCCTTCATCCCATGTGCCCTGGTTAGTGACCGTGCCATTTTTGAAAGTTGTGAATAGTAAGTAAAAGATCTTAATAACATATTGTTTTCCTTTTGCTGAATAAAAATATTACATACTTAGTAACTTTTTTAGCGTTTCACAGGTATAAATGACGCTAACTCCTGTTTTTTATCAACATGATGTACAGTTGAAACCTACCTATATGAAGGATTAAGAAGCTCAAGAAAACACCACTTTACCTTGTTTTTGCACAAATTTTTGAAAGTCTTTAATTCAGCAATTTTTAAAAAATTGTAAAATTAAACACTCACAAAAAACTTTACGCAAAAATGCCCATACATTTGCAATTATTTGTTAAAATTGCAAAAATTAATACCCATAAAAGGTCTATTCTGATTTTGAAAACTAGTATGTCCATAATCATATGTAATAGGACTCCATGCTGTCCAATTAAGAGAATTCCAAGGACTGCTAAAATTCAATGGTGCAGTAGATGCAAGATGTCCACAAAAGTCATTCATTTGACATAACTAGGAAAATAGTTTTATCACATATCAACTTTATCCATCAAATACTTAGAAATAACAAAAAAAGGTTCATATTTCTGTTTTTTTTCTTATGATTGGTAATCATTAATAGACTCCTCTCTTCTGCTGATAGTTACTGCTGCAGTACATTGCCTTGGTCCAATAAAAGTAAATCCTAGGAATTGCACTATGTTGCCATAGTTACTGTAAACACATTGCCATAGTTACCGTAGAATGCTGCCATGGATCCTGTAATCTACTAACTCTAATGAATGGTTTTGTTGCTATAACAACTGTTCAGTATTACTTTTCCTTGAGTTCATTAATACATAACTTTTTACAACAGTTCTGAGTCTTTTGGTTGCAATCAAAACTACATGTACTTTTGATGTCAAGTGATAATGCACAATTCCATATTGGGTAATATGATCATAGCAGATATTTTTGGTTATTCCATTCTTGATGTTGAGATACCATGGTGACTTCAAGGTCCCAAAGAATACTTGCCATGGACAACAACATGAATCATGGTTTCTTTAACCCAATGATAATAACAATGAAGGTTTCCATAGTAACTTCAATCATAGATGATATGTTGTCATGGTAGCTCGTTTTTTAGTTTTTTTATGTCCAATTCTTGACCTAATACAAGTGTGCTGGTGGTTTCCATGGGCCATCAACATGCTACCAAAACAAACTCCACATTGTCCAACAGGGGTGACACCTTCTTCGCCAGCAGGAAGGAGTACCATCACAGATGCAACTGCAACTTTGTTCTTTGCAAGAGGCTCCATTGCAACAGGATTTGGAGATGACTATTATTGCAAAATACATTATGAACAGACTATTAACAAATTTAAACTAAGATACTTTCAGAAAAATGGATTCCATGAATAAATGAAAACAAGGTGTAACTGTAGTTTTTATAGCTACATGTCCCGATACTTTTAGCTGACCATGAACAATGCCTTAATCCATTTAACACAAGCCCACCCAATCAATTATCAGAGATGAATATGAAGCATTTATTATAGGCAATGGCAGCAATGCCGGCAATGTCACAAAGCACAAATTATAAGAGTTGTAGTTCTTGTACTTTTTTATGCCTGCTTAACAGTCCTCAAAACCCATTTTTAACCATTTTTTAAACCGTTGTGTTCTTTATACAAAAAAATATCTTTTAGAGAGATTTTTTGAAGAATAATATTATAACAAGTGCAAGGACTACAAATCCAATTTTTCTTACTTAATGTGCAAATGGTGTTGCTGCACATTGCCGATAGGTTTGCTTATAATTTGAGTTGTTAAAGCACAATTATTCTGTAAATATATTGTACTTTACCTTGCTTAAAACAACTAAATCACTTGGTAGTAAGAGGTGTATAGTTGCAAAGGGACGATTTGCCATTCTGTCTCTCTCAGCTCTTCGTTGCTGAAATATAAAATACTTGTTTTAGGAATAGTTGACAAAAGCAGTTTGCCTACAAATCCAAACTCAAGTTTATGCAAATCAAGATAATTTAGTATAAAATCTACAATGCTCTTTTTCATAACTAAGCATTTGGAATTTGTGATGTGGTCATAAGCCTGTGATGTCTTAAGGCTTCAATTTAAGCCATGACACTTGGACATTACTGTACTGATGCACTACATGCATAGTCCATATATCGCAACCCACGGAAAGCCTTGTGACGCAGTGCATTTTGGGATTGATAAATGAGTAAACAAGTGAACAACGATGTCAGTGCTCCAGTTGTCTGTACCGCAGACTCAGTTTTCAAAAACTTGGGAAATATTGATATTGTAGTTAATCTCAGAGAAATCAAGCAAAAATGAAAACAAACATACATCCATGTTTGTCTGTGGAAAAATCGAAACTAATTAGTGTTTTTTTACGATTTTAGCAATTTGTTTTGATGAAGAAAGGGAGATATATATCCCATGATGCATTGCAAAACCATTCAAAATGGCGGACTTGTGATATGGACTATGATAGAATGATAGAGAGACTATAGCAGAGACTATAGACAGTGGGGTGTGTTTATTGCTGGATATATGCGGTAGCGCATGTGCAAATGACGCTGATGAAAAAACTGATGCAACATAATTTACTGCTCTTATATGATTTAACAACAAATATTATTGCAAAATAATTATTATATAAGCATAGTGTGTGTGCAGTTCATACCCTTGTTACCAGATATGAATGATATCTGCTGCGAATCTTCCAGCCAATACTTGCCACAAACAGCAAGGATAAAAAACACCTATAAGAATAAAAAAATATAGAGATAAGAATAATTGTATGAGGAAGTAGCTGATCCCTAGGGTTAGGAGATAAGAATATATAGTCAATTCCATGTTGTTCAGCTGTTAAGACATAAAGACAACTACAATGTCATTTGCATAAAAGTGTTTATAAAATTTCTGGGAAGGATTTTTTGGTTTTCAACCCCAGATAAATGCCAAGAAAGAAATTATGTCAAATGTTATTGACATTGTAATGATTTTGTGCAACTTTATGCTAAATATTCTTGCAAAGAACTATAAATTATAAATGACTTTGTTGTTGTCTTTTTGTCTTTATTTAATAAAGACTGATTTTATTTAAATCATCAAAGGTAACACCAGAAGGGACGATATTCGATCATGTTCACCCATTCCCATGAGATTCAAAAGATAAAAGACCGGCGGCCATGTTGGAGGAATGAACAATAGATACTAATGAGAAATCCTTTGTTGAAGTTCCTCTGAAATGGCCACTGTGATCATGTAACTTGAAAATGAAGAATTATAATAATATTTTTGAACTTTAAATATGTTAAAAGGCTGGATGGTGCATTCACCAAGATGTTGAGGGTCGTTAAAGATGTCTCTTGGCAACAACACATGACAAACAAGGAATAATGTGGTGGTGTCCCGATAATAACTGACGTTTGTTAAAACATATTTAAAGTTTGATATTTCATCAAAGCAAGGAAAGTTGGCTGTCACTGTTATCAATAACTTATTTCTTACCCGAAGAATGTGAGAAAGAACTCAAGAAGGTTAATATTTAAAGTGGACTGTTGCTTAAACAATGCCTGAAACCAAATCAATAAAGATAACATCATATTTTAAAACAAAACACGCAGCGGAAGCCAGACTAAACAAACTACCGGTATCTAGTATGAAATGGCAAGTTTTGAACCAATAAAGTTTTAGATATCAAAGGATGTAGAAAAAATTTAATCGACCAAGCTGTTAATACAAAATTTAATATCAGTTCATTTATTAAATTTTTAGGGATCAAATGGAGGTGGAAATCATTACTTTACATGACATCTAACTCACTTCAATTATGAATGAGGCATCTCTGTCCATTTTGTAAATATTGGCATGGAAAACAACTTCTCTTTCACGAAATAAAAAATCTTTATGGGAAAACTTCTCGTTGACCTCGCCTAACTCTTTTTTGGTGAAAATTGGAATTCTCTTTGATTTGAATGGGTAATCTGAAAGACAAAGCTTTCTTATTAGGATAAGAATGGCAATATTATAGTTGGTACTAGTCATGATAAACAACATGATGATATGTCATCGTTGTGTCTGCCTAGCCAGTGGCTGATTATTATGTATCAGACACTTACAACAACTATATAGTGATTTTTTTAGCACACAACACTCCTTATAGCTAGGTTTTGACTGAGGGAGGAAAACCAGTGTACCTGGAGAAAAACCCTCAGACCGCCTACAAACTCATATCACATAATAATGTACCAGACCAGGTATCAAATCCAGAACCACACCGGTGGTAGGCCAGCGTTTTACCACTTGGCCATCCTTGCTCTTACTATTTTTTAATATTTCAGACCTATTGGCGACTTAACTAGATACTCTTGGAACATCTTACTCAGGCTTTATCACAGAGCAGTCATGTGATGAATGACATCACATTCTATGACTTGTCAATAATGCCGACAACTATAGTTTGTTTCCTCAGGTTTGACTGAACCAAGATTGAAGTTGTATCCTATTATCCCTTGATCACACAATGATTAATATGTATTAAAGACTCAAAATTATTGCCTGATCAAAACATTTCAGATTTGAACTATTAATACCATGGATAATACACCTGAGTCTTCCCCACTAAACAACCAATCACAGTGAGCAATTTCCCTGGAAATAGTTTCTTAAATTATTGCTATCATCATGAATTGAAATCATACTTTGCTATTCTAATCTTACCTTGAGTGTATGACATGTTCATTAAAGCTTTCGGACCAGTCAATATTTTAATTTCAAATTGAATGTCTTGTTCTTTCTGCAAAAATAGAGAAACATATTAACATTAACTAAATTGCTCTAGTGAGAAACTTTTTGCCTAATTTGAGGAAGACCCACAAAACACACTATATTCCAAGAGGGGTGGGGGTGGGGACTCCTCAGTAAAAGTTCTGGGGATGCTTGTCGGATCTCTTAGGGTTTGGGAATATTTTAGGGTGCCAATTTGGAGTTTCTGGATATTTGCATTGTCTGCAATCGATTAGAATGTCGGAAAAGAAGAGAAAGAGTGCATCAATATTGATTTTCCTCTGCATTTTTATCATTGGAACTGAATAATTGTTGTGCAATCCCTTGGGGGGCTAAAAATTAGTCAGTCACACCCTTTTTTCAAGACTTCCGGGACTCTATTATGGTTGATCAAGTAATGAAATTCTGCCTTTTTATGGCATTGATCCAAACAGATATTTAAGTGTTCACACAACATGTATCACAACATGTATTCACTTACAGTGAATGCCTTACAGCAGATGGTCATCTCATCTATTTTTTACTAGTTTCATTGCTACAGTTAATCACATATGTGACCCTCCATGGGACTTCAGGTAAAAAGGTGATGACACGCTCACGCTTGCGATGACACGCCACGCTAAACGTGCTAAAAAACTGATATGCACAGAATTAATTAGATTGCACGCTTGCTTTTGTTTTGATGATTTCGCGTGTTTATACTAAAAGGTATTAACACGGTTAGCGTGCCAAGAACACGGTTAGCGTGCCAAGGACACGGTTAGCGTGTCAATCGACACGGAGGTCGTAGGTGTGCAGTCCATAAAAGCCTAATTTCTAATAATATAATTGCTGGCGATCGCTTGAATCATTTTCAGCAATCCGGCATCGTTCGCATTTCACAATTCTCGCTTTGATTGGCTTTTCGGGTATACCAACATCGGTTCCCTTGTTTACTACAAGAAAGTTGATTAGTTTTCATCATAATTTTTCACTAAGAACACTTACCATCGAARAACAAAGCAGCTRATGTTTTTCTTCATAAAAACGGACTGAATAAATAGCCAACTATTTTAGCGAATGTTCAAATCATTATCCACCATTCTGCTTCTAAATTGATCACGACGTTTTTGATTTCCTCGTCATTATTTTCAGCAATTCATTTGTATTTTCTAATAAATTATTTTTGAAGCGAAATCCGTTGTATCGCGACCCAACGTTGCAAAACTCGCAAAACAGTTTTTTTGGGCTTTTCTGAACCGCCAGTTTGTCTGGCGTTTAATTAATTAGCCTTTGAACACGCCGCGTATTGCTTATAAACTGCCGTGCGGCTAGACTGCATGAAGCAAAATMTTTTTTCTGTCAAATAAATTTCTGCGCATGAATCGAAAACGTATAACATTAAGATTAAGTGGTCTTTTTATCAAATGTGATCGATTTATGGAAAAAAGTTTGAGTTGAACGTCTATAAATCAAAGATCAGAGCTAGTATCGAGCGGCTTGTTCAATCAAAGTTAACTATGGTTATATTAACTATGGTTCAATAGATAAGCCGCTAATAACAATACCCCCAAAAAAATGATTTCAAGGATTTTTTTCTCGATTGCTCTCATTCCACAATGGACTCGAATGAGCCAACRCAGTTTTTACATTTGACAACAGAAGATKTAAATCAATTAGAAAACTTAGAAGAATCCTACTTTATTAGAAATGATAACGAYTCASTGAACAAGGAATTCAGTACGGATTCTGAAGGAAGCTCCGACATATCTGATGACGAAGATTTTACCCATACTAAAGATTATGATGATGTTGAGCTTATGGAAGTCCACACAACTGAGAAAGCAAAAGTAGAGAAGTTTTATGCAGACACTTGCCAATGCAAACTTGGAGGAAATGACGATGAAAAGACATGCTGCAGTCTTACTCTTACTATMGATGAAATCGCTGACTGTRGGAATAACTGCATTGAATTATCCTCAGCTGAACTTGATTTRGTTATACTCGGAATCATACATAGCTGTTTGAGTTGTGATGATGTAAGCTCTTCTAGCCGACAAGAAAAAAAGCGCCAACAGGATCGAATGTCATACTACTATCACGGCAAGCGTATCTGCATGAAAACTTTCCTCTTTTTGCATAACATTCACYGCTACAGGTTCTACAGCTTGGTAAAGCACTACAAGAAGAATGGATTGACACTGCGTGTCCATGGCAATGCAAAACGACTACCAAGCAGTGCATGCTCACAAGAAACTATTGAGCATGTTGTCAAGTTTATAAATAATATAGCTGAAGAACAAGCGCTTCTTCTTCCCGGCCGCGTACCTGGTTTTAAAAGAATTGATGTGAGACTGCTACCTTCTAATCTTACAAAGCATGGACTATGGAGACGGTATGCAGATGTATGCACAAGTCTCAATAAAGTCTCTGTGGGGTATTCTAAGTTTTGTGATCTATGGAATCAGCTATGTCCATTCATTTTAATCATGCGACCTGCCACTGATCTATGCTGGACGTGCCAGAAGAACAATAACCAAATACACAAAACTGTCAACCAACCCGAAGCAGAAAAGGCAGAAGCAGTAAAAAAACAAGAAGAACATCTCTCCATTGCTGCAGGAGAAAGACAACAATATAAACAGTGCTGTGATGAAATTAAAAGCCAGATACAAAATCATTTGAAAGACGTTAACTTTTTCCTTAGCCGCGGGCCCTGTTCGTACAATGGAACTGTCCATTACTCGTATGATTATGCCCAACAGTTACATTATCCCGCCGATCCTTATCAACCTGGACCAATATATTTTAAGACACCCCGGAAGTGTGCTCTATTTGGTGTCTGCTGTGAGGCAGTTCCTCGCCAAGTCAACTTTCTAATCGATGAAGGTGTATCTACTGGCAAAGGGGCAAACAGTACGATATCATATGTACACTACTTTTTTGATCGTCATGGTCTTGGAGAAACCAATGTTAAACTACATGCAGATAACTRCGGAGCCCAAAACAAGAACTCTGCCTTTATATGGTATTATTTATGGCGAGTTATGACTGGTCTGCACCATTCTATCGTCTAYGAGTTTTTAATACCTGGACACACTAAATTTGCTCCTGATTGGTGCTTTGGACTTGTCAAGCAAACTACTAGACGCACATTTATTTCATCTTTGTTTGACATTGCCAGAGCAGTAGAGTCATCGGCTTCTGTCAACAGTGCASAACTTGTCGGGCTACATAATGGCACTGTTTGTGTTAATACATATGACTGGACTAATCATTTGGGGCAATATTTCAAAAAAATTYCCAAGATTAAGTCATACTATCATTTTAGATTCCATAAAGACCACCCCGGAACGGTGTTTTGTAAGCAGCATTGGTTCTCATCGGAACACGCGATTAATCTTTTGCGAAACAAGGACATAGTGCCACAGCCAAACCTTTTGCCAGCTATTGTTAATCCTGTTGGCATTAGCAAAGAACGTGCTGAATATCTCTAMAAAGAAATAAGGGAATTTTGCCGCGATGGCACTGAAGATTTAGTCGCTCCTGTTGTCCCAAACTAATTAAACTATGAAGCAGATGTAAATAATTRCTGAAAATAAAAGAAAACTTTGTATATCATATGTATGACATATGTAGATAAGGAAATAAAAGTAGTTGTAAAAACAGYAGTCAGTTTCTTTCTATTGATGACGCTAAAGTTCATTACTGAATAAAGAGCTATACTTATATACAATGAACATCTAACTTGAAAGAAAATATTTTCAGCTGACGTAACGTTATCTCTAAAACATGAGGTACGGATTGCTAATCACTTTTTTCAAGTTTGAAAAGACTACTTTTCAACTAAACCTGCAATATCACGTGACTTCTTCTAGGTAGCTTGTAAGTGTTGTAATGCTTTAATGCCGTCGTGTGGAGGCACTATTCATAATGCAGTGTTCTGTATTCAACCTTTTTTAAATAACTGTATAATTAAATGAAAATAGTCTTTACAACATTGCATTTTATTTTATTTGAATAATTTCGAAAACAGTGAATGATCATGAAGATTGCGAGATTATGAAACGAGTTGATTTCACCAACGAACTGAGAAAAATGAATTTTTACAACTGTATGTATATCATCTGCTCAGTATGCGAAATATGCAGCCCGCCTCTCAACTTAACGGATTGTCGCATTCCGCATCATACCACGGAATACTGTTGCACAAATGCGTTAATAATGTTGATGTTATAAACTTTACATTTTACTGTATGGATTAACGTATTAAGCATTTATATGAATTCAATATACATGTACAGGGGGCAGTTGTAGCTACTTGTAATTGCACAGATGTGCTTCATGTCTCTTCCGACAAGTCTGCGGCATACGTTAGTAACTTATACCGCCTATTTAGTAATTAAAAAAAACGCGTCATCGCAGCTACACAAAGCCTTCTGCATACACACAAAGTGACCACGCATTTCATTATTATCACCGTCACTCACCAAAATGGAGTATCATGCACTGTTAGATGATATCCGCAATATCAGACTGTTTCATATGAAAAAGTTAAACGAACTAGAAGAAACATTTATTATTTCATTTCACGATGCAATGAACCAGCCTCTTAGTACAGCCATGCTGCAAGAATTGTATGAAATATGTAGCAGTCTACAAGCCTACGAGCTCAAGGTCTTCAACCTGTTGGAAGAACTCAACTCACTGGAACAAGAATTAATGAATTAGTAATATAATTATTACTGATAATAACAACGGCTCTTTTGGGAGCCACCACATCTTAAAAAGTCTTGATTTCAAATGCTTTTCWGACTCCCAAAAGAGAGCCTTAAACCTGGAAATTTGTGTCTATAAAGGGACTCAAGTACCCTTAAATGATGACATGCCGCATAGTAGAAAACATTTTTATCAAAACAATATCAATTGTAATATTAGTTTTATCAAATTTTAAAATTCTAATATTAAATTTTTTAAAGCTTTTTTAGTTTTTTGTGAATATAGATATCATTATCGCGCGATTACTCAAAGTTTTGAACAAAGTATATGATGAAATCATATAATACATTGGTATATTTGCGAGAGTTTATAGGATAATTTATTAAAAAAAAATTAATTAATGTAATTCAATGAATTGGAAGGCAGTGAATTAATAGGCCTCTGTTTTAGTCACTTTTGCAGAATTTTGTTGTATTACAGGATTCCGACAATTCAGTTATTATTTTTAATTGCTTCGGCAAATGAGTGAAGTCTATGTCTTTTTCGCCGGTCCAAATTTATTTTGAAGGATAAATTTGCACTTCAGAAGTACTACCGCCAAGAATTAGCTTGTTAAACAACAAAAGGGTTGTTGAATTATTTAATTTACTATTGTATACTACAATATAAATTCGCAACTTGAAGGCAATCATTGCCGTTACAATCTTCAACAGCAAGTGAGTCCAACATCTCGAGAGTTTACTAACCCTGCTATAAGTCAAGTGTACCATGTCTTTTTTTAATCGCAACGTAAGCAAGGTACCAAAACTATGCCTGCTGTATTTTGAAGTAGACAAGAGTACTTGTATTGTCGAGACAAAAAAAATTAGAGAGAAAGRCACTTCAAGGCAATTTACTTTTACTGGTCCAGAGAGAATGGCACAAGTCACAGTCAAAACTGGCGGGAAAATATTGGACGCCATGGTCATCGCAACGGATGGTAAGAATATACATATACGTGATAAATTATACTTGTTTACATTTCTTTATACACTTGATGTCGGATATTGATTAAAATCTTTATTTCTTTTTATTTTAGATGACGAAGATAAGCTAAACGCAGAAGATGAGGCGTTTGCGGAAGACAACGCAGAGCTATTTGATAGTCCTGTGGAAGAGACAGTAAACGAAGATGAAGATACTTCTGCCACAAGTGTGAATAAAAGATCAAACACAACAAACGAAGTAAGTTCTTTAGATAGGAGATGGTTTCATTGTTATTTACTGAAAATCATCAAGCATTAAAAATATCGATCCGGTTTAAAGATAGATTTTAAAGCGTAAAAAGTATGCAAGGTTACTTAGTACTGACGTTTTCGGTGGATRTTAGTCTGTTGACGATGGACTGAACTCCGAAAATAATAAGTGATCAGTTTACCTTCCTTTTTACTTTTTATTACAAATGTTAATTTGATAACTGCAACGTAGCCTATACTAGCTTACCGCTACTGTAAATGACACTTAACAGAAATAACATAAAACATTTTATGATTGAGCCCCACGCAAGATTCATTTATGTGATGAAAGACATACGTTTAATTATCCGCGAAAATTTTRTTTCTTTTTATAGGATGAGATGCTCCATGCATTCGAAATCGAGCAGGAAGAAAAGCACCATCGTTTGAAACGTCAGCGTCTGGACAATGGGAAAGCCAAAACAAAGGAGACAGCAATCCAGTGCAGTATTGAAGGTGAAACTCTGCGCCACATGAAGACCAAGAACCATATATCCGTTGCAGTCCAAACAGATGATAACAGGGATATCATGGAGGACCTCAAAAGTCAAGTGCAGCAACTCACTAARATCGTGGCTGACCTAACCGCCCTTAMGTCCYCMAGCCTTCAAGATCATTTTGACGACATGTTCCCATCGTTTACACCCGGGTTAACACGAACAAACACRTCCATTGATGAGGTTGCTGAAACGCCAGATGACTTGTCACCAATATTGCAACCAGTATTACAGGTCCCAACACACCAAGAAATGCTAACCGGACTTCCTGCCCCACACATTCAGCAACDGACTCCACTGTCTACAATTGATCGGAACGCGATTCCATTATTTCATGTAAAGGATCATAGCCAAGGTCCCCGGGATGATCAGCGCCAAAAAGTTGAGGCAATAATTCTAAAAGGGACACAGCTACTGATAACAAGTRTGGCTTGTGTTGACGCTCTGTTTTCGGAGGAAGAACTAGCAAATGGTAACACTTCAGGCTCAAACGGGTTTAGMAAACTAGATGAGTCGAAATTAAAATTTCTTAAGTCAGCACTTCAACAAAAATTTGGCGCGGAAAWTTTTTTAGCACAGTGGGARATAATAAAAATAAARATTAACACTAAATGCAGAGGAAAGCGCCGTACTGTAGTTCGTCGTTTGTCAAAGCAGCTATATGCTTAGTTCAATGATTCAATTTTGTTATTCATTTTTTGTTTTTATTCAAAATGTAAACCATATTTTACATTCTTTTGCATAAGGTATAATAAAAGAACTCATGGACTTGTAAAGTGTTGTTGGACTTTTGAAAACCCGAGTGGAATTAAATTATAATAAAGTAATAAAAGTAATAATGATGATGATGATGATAATAATAGCCTAGTCATCAATACCCGTGCTTATAAAAATATATTTATTTATTAGCTAGACAGCTGGCACACTGTCTGTCTGCCAGTTTGTGTTTATGCTCGTGAAAACCACAGAAGCGTAACAATTTCTGATTTTCTCTAATGTATGCAATTCAAGACAGCTATGTATTCTTTCTTATGACTTAGAGAATAATAGGTTAGCAATTATATAAATAATTTCCAAGGAACAGCTCAAAACTTTGACAGAAATTAGTTGGAAACTCAGTGGTTTGCATTACTTACATCAAAGTGACGATCGACCGGAAATTCTACTTAACTTTACGACGTTAAAAATTACATCAGATTTGTCATCATTTATGACCTGTATTCTTCATATATTTATTTGATTTAAAATACTTCAACGTTTTGGGTAATTAGTTAAAGAACCCATAGTATGAAAATGACAATCATTTATAGAAACTTTAACATTAAAGCCAAAGGAAAAACTACAAGTATGTACGACGCAAATGTAGCGTGAGTTTGGTAATGCGATGTTTTCAGTCACAGTTTAAAATATCGTTAATTTCGATACGTTAATTTCGATACGATTCTAACAGTGTACATCGAGTCAACTAGCTTTATACATCGGCAAACAAGGTATCTTTTCTCTGACAANCAAAATATGACTGGAAACGTGATCACTGTTTCCGAGTTCATCAAGTTTACCGCATATTTGTTTTGGAAAATAGAAAAGTATGTCAAAAGGATTTTAAAAACCTAAAACAACGAAAAAATTTCCTATAAAAACGGTGCTACTGCAATGTTTCATTAGCTTTCACTCGCCTTGAGAAAAAAGCCAACAGTCGTTTGTTTGAAAGGAAGAGAAAGTCTGTATTCTTTGTTGACACGTCTAGCGTGCTACGATGACACTTTAGGCGTGTTATTTGGCACGGTAAAGACTTTTATTGCGACTAACACGCTTTGTTGTTTAACTCGAACACGGTCTTTTGTATTTAGCGTGCAATAAAAGACAAAAGAAAATTTTAATGAGCCTACACGCTTGCTGTGTTAAACCGTGTCAGAGAAATATGCTATTGTTTAGCGTGTTAAATTAGCGTGAGCGTGTCATCACCTTTTTACCTGAAGTCCCATGGATGGTCACATATTATATAGAACACTCATTTTTTGAGCCACTAATGAACCTTAGAGTAAACTTTAATCTTTTTGTACATGATTGTATAAGTTAGAGTATATTTTTAGTGTATGAATATCTCCTCTATGCCTGAACCAGCAGGTTCATGTTGACTTTTGATTGATAAAATGATGATTATTTCCAAGCAAATTTACACTTTTTGATTGGTTCATTTTTATAACTTTGCTTGGTTAGCCCTACTAAGGTGTATCTTATAATCATAGACATTGTGTATCAACTCTAAGAAGCACTTCTTTATAAATTGGTAATAAAAAACTTACACTCAAAGGAGCAAATTTGATGTTCAGGCTGGTTTTGCCAGACACATTGAAAATAATTCTGTCCATTGACTTCAGTCGATCTAAATAGAATAATATATTCATGTATTGCATTCACTGAATAAGAAATGGAATACAAATTCACTGACTAAAAATATAATAAAATATGGAGAACCAAATACATGTACTAGAATAATGTTGAATGACCTGCTTTTTGTATACCATGCACATGTAACATCAATAGTAGCTAAAATGTATTCATACTGAACATTATATTTGTAATTTTTAAAATGTGTTGAAAATTGCCATTATTTTCATTGGGAATCATAAAGTATTGGATCTCAACAACCAAACTTACAATAACATAATTTTCCATTAGTAGCATTGCCTTCATATTTTCTTTCTTTATCACATCTGAATTAAAAATAGATTAAACTGAATAAATTCCTGATTAAACAATTCAGGAAATTAATGTTTTATTTAATATTTGAATTTTGCATTAGGTTGCAGCTGTTACAGGATGTCCACCTAACAAGCAATTTCCAATCTTCCAGTTGCGATGTGACTTATGAAAATACTCACTTCCTGTTTTGACAAGTAAAATGGCCTTGAATGTCAGATGTGTTTTTAATGCATTGGGGAAATGACAATTAGGTATTTTTTAAATTCTATGTGGGCATTAAAGAATGTTCCATGTTCAGAATATTTAAATATCAAGACAAGTAACAACTTGAACATTGAATACGTTTTTTGTTGGTTGACAACCTTTTCAAGAATCATTTGATATAATATCAACAAATACAAAAAACAAAAAGCTTGTTTCAGGCGTATGGAAAACAGTCTTTTTTTAAGTAGCAATTGTTGAACATCATTCTAGTAGAATGACAGCCAAATATCTCACAAGAAGAGATGGGCGAACAGTTGATTGATTGAAAAACAAAACAAAACAAAATGGTGGAAACTAGAAGTAAACTAGTGTAAGCTGCGTCAGTGTTTCTAATCTAAAGATTGAGACAGTTGTATAAAAAGATAAACTTTAACACTGACTGTAAAACAAAACAAAACAAAATGGTGGAAACTAGAAGTAAACTAGTGTAAACTAAGTCAGTGCTTCGAATTTAAAGAAACAATTGTGTAAAAAGACAAATTTTAACAGACTGTAAAACAAAACAAAACAAAATGGTGGAAACTAGAAGTAAACTAGTGTAAACTGCGTCACTGTTTCTAATATTTTAAAGAAACAATTGTGTAAAAAGACAAATTTTAACACTGACTGTAAAACAAAACAAAACAAAGTAAAAACAACAACAACAAAATAGTACCAACCTTTCACATCGATGACCAATGACCCCTTCTACAAGACATTCACATCTGCTAGTCTTATGATGACAGTGTTTAGCATGTCCATTACACTGGCATTCTAAAATATATAGATGGCATTCTAAAATATATAGATAGCTGATGTACAACATCAAACAATATTTAAAATAATAGTAGCCACAATTAGGTGCCATCATCAGGAGAAGATTATTCCTGACTCAAGCAACACTATTACACTGTTTACTCAGCTGAAAAAAATTCAATTTAAAAGACCAGACAAAATTGCAAATATTAACATCATCTGGACTGTTCTTGGATAATAATATGTCATGGAAACACTTGATTCAATTAATGTTGTCAGACAAACCTAACCCTAACAGAAAAGACATTCAAAAAGTACTCAGAAACTCCAATAAAATTTATTGTAAATTACTTCTAAAACTCATGAATTATTCATTAGACATTCTTCCAATGAACATTCAACTATGGGTCTCATGACAGGATCTATAAGTCAAGTTATAAACACTGATTAATTAAACATGAGTTCTATAACTAACCGGTTCAGTTAGTTATAACACTCATGCATAAAACATTAGTGTTGTAACTGATTTACAGACACTCRATGTATGCCCAACACTAGAAAAGTTCTCAGTTTTAGACTCTCATCATAGAACTTCACTAGGTCTCGAGTTAAAATTACTTATTTGCAGAGTCACAGTACACTAAAACATAGTGGCGCTTGGATGTGGGAAACCAAGTTGATTACTGCTCATGCTCATATGGAGATATCTTCATCAATTATTCATTTTTGATATTTTTTTATTTATTTCATGTTTATTGTAGTTTATTAGGTTTGGGTTTTAGAAGTCATTTAAAAAACTCGTAGTTCGTGTTTTATTGTGGATATAAACACTCGGCCTTCGGCCTCGTGTTTATATCTCACGATAAAACACTCCTACTCGTTTTTTAAATATCACATAAAGATCTGACATGAATATTTTATATTGCTTATCGAATTCCAGCATAAGCTAAAGCATATTTTACTAAAACTTCAAGATAAAATATCATTTTTAATAGAAAATCAAAAACGTTTAAGTCGTATGTAAAACAGGACAAATCTCTTGCACTCATACAATAATATTAAACATAAATAATTTTCCATAGTGTTTACCTAATGAATTATTCATAAATTTAATAACTAAGCATAAACATCATACACCTTATTCCAAAATGGCTGACTAGCCCTTGATGTCTCGTTTTCATGAAATTGTTTTTTTTATTTTAAAGTCAAGCTCAAAGACAAAAGAATAATTTTATGAAAACGAGACATCAAGGTCTAGTCAGCCATTTTGGAATAATGTGTATTTCAAAGTATTTGCATGATTTACAACTTTTTTTAGAGAGAAAGTGTGAAAATAACATTTTGAAATGTTCCATGATGCACCCTATATATCGATCTACTCAAAACTACATTATTTATTAATAATCATTTATAATATTATTATTAACAAACATGCTATGCTCTTGATTGCTGCTGTTACATGGTTCTTGTATGCTGATTAGGATATTTTTTATAAGCAGGATGTTTTTGTGGAGCCTTTTAAAACGCGTTTTGATGTAAACCAGATTTTTTCAAATGACTATTAATAAACAAAGAGTAAGTAAATAAATGCTTTTTGTTGTGTGAATTTTTACCTTGACATGTACCACCATTTCTTGGATCACCAAAGTACCCAGATACACATACTTCACATCTCTTCCCTAATAGAAAAATAATATTCATCTTTTGAGAGATTGAATCGAATATCAAAAGTGATTATTATCGTTGGTCGTAGTCAGGCATAATCGTGACCGCTCACGTCCAAGTCGCGTCGAAACTTATACACAATTGACGACCGAAATTCTTATTATTACGTGAATTTCAACTTAGTGTAATCTTCGTATATATAATATTGGGGTGAGATGGAGGGCAGAGATGGCAAAGTAGGGGCGAGATGGTGGGGACGAGATGGAATAGTGGAGGCGAGATGGTGTAAGATGACCGGTAACGTCTTCAGAAGTGGGATTTTTAATGATTCAGCTTACAGACGGCTTATAATGTTATTGTTAGCTTTCTTAGTTAGAATGAGGAGTTAAGAGTGCATCAGTTTCCAAGGTCTCATAACTAAAATTTAAAGTCGTTTGAATTTTAAGCTTTATTTTCTATATTTAACAAGCCTACCTGCAGTATGATGTTTGCAGTTCAAGCAAGAAGTTCCTTTGTCACAGATACTATGTCCATTACACTGACAGGCTACAAGACAAACAAACCCAAAATCACACATTGGATATTATTTTTAAATTACTGTGTTTTTTCTTTAAAATTTTGGCATAAATACATCTCAAAGCCCCAGTGTGCAACATTATGCTTTGAGGGCCGCAAGGGCCGGGAGGCGGCCATTTTCAGTTTATTGAAAGTCTATAAATTGCACAGTGTGTTTTGAATCTTTGACCATCTCACTTTTCTAAGCACTAAAAGCTAATATAAGAGTTTTCAACCATCTGAAATTCGTTTTATGGTGATATTTGGATACTAGAAGGATTTTGGTGTAAATCATAACAATAAGAGAGGCACGCAAAGCATAATGGTACAAACTTTAAATAAGATGAGCTCTTAAGTTTTTAATTTTTCAGCTTTCCAAACTGAAAACTCGATGAGGTATGATATGATACCAATTTATTATAATTATAAACTAGCTACTTGCAGCACTCACTTTCTATTAGAAATGACCAGTTTAAATATTATCATGAGATAACCCTCTTAGTTCATGACTGCAGACAGGGTTTCTAGCAATCTTACCTGGGCATTGGGTGTAGTACCATTTAGGGCACTTTAGGACATTGGTGGATAAATAACTTGAGGTATAATGACCATCACCTCCCCCCTCAGTACAAAATCCACTCCCTGTACCAGAGTTATCGTCACACCAGCCACATCCTGGTATGGTAAGGCACGAATCACATGACTGGTGTATTGAACACTTAACAGCTAAAAAGAAAAAAAAAATATCAAAGCTAAGTTAGTTTTTGTAAACGTCTATGGTTACTACTTTAAAACCTTCCATGAAGACCATGAAGTAAGATGTAGTTCTATAAATTAAACAAACAAATGAGCAGATGGCTTTGATGCTAATATAAACTTAAAAGTGCCAAGAAACAGAGAAACTAATATGAAACTAAAATTATGACAGTTTATTGATTGTCCATCCATGCCCATCATCTTACAATACATGTCCCTTTTAGCGATCATTTTCAAAAATCTGATGAGGACCACACCCCTTTTATAAGGAATATGTTTTTTTTTTGGAAGTCGTAGTTATGATAAAAATACCTTTACAATCAGCAGTTATCCAGTCATTACACTGTCCGTTAGGAAACACTGCAGTATAACTGTCTGCCTTAATGCACCTCTTCTGTGTCTCACACCACATATGAAGGTCTGCGCTGCCTTGTTTATTACCAAGCAGTTTAATACACTGATCACAATTCTGATTACAATCTTGGTATGGTCCACATGGTGGCATCTGGGATGGACATTTGGTACCTACAATGGTACATGTCAAGGATGTTAGATTGAAATACATTTTCATGTTTGTTTGAAATACAKTTTCATTTTCATATCCCTTTCATACATCATGCTATCCTTGCACAAAACCACATAGTTCGAATTTGGTATGTACACAGCTTTGCCATATGACCAATCAAGTTTGGTGCACAGCAATGGCACATCAGGAGCACAGCAACGTAGGTTGTACTGCATGGCAAAAGCTCAAATGTTGAGCTATAGTTTGTTGAACTTAATTAACAAATTAATGCAAAATATGAATATCTTTTTCCAAAAATAATAGTGGATGCAAATTACATGTTATCAGACAGTCTCTGAGGTGTTTGCCTCTATTTAGGTTGGTGTATTATTAACACCACACAAAATGTATTTGGGCCAGACACAAACTGACTACTTGGTTCAGTCAAAAGAACAACTCAATATAATGTAAAAGAAGTAAAAATATAATCAAAGTAAAATATAATTACTAACACATTAATAATAGATATCAAATGATTGACAATAATTTCCTTATTTCTGCTCATGATGAAAAGTTTTAGTCTTGATTTTATCAATTTAAGGTTTAATTGGTTTTGAGCAGAAAGAACTAAATCCTTACTGGAAATATAAAGTGTATGTTGCTGATTAATCCTATTTCACAAGTTACTATAATTGCAAATTAATTTCACTTTCATCAAATGTAACTGACAATGAATTTGAAAACATGGGCAAAATGTAAAATGCTAAACAGTGTGAAAGATCTAGAAAATAATCTATTTATCAAATGGTGTTAAGAGCAACAAGGTACCTTTGCACAGTATGGTGAACTTGCACTGCTGAAAGAAATAAAATACAGGCTACATCAACTAGTTCACATTGCAAAAGATWGTAATCAGGAATATCTTTTATCTTAGGACTGAACATAATCTTGTTTCCAATTTCTTAAAGTTTGTACTAATGAAGAAGGAATAACAAGCAAAAGTTCTGCCCCTAGTTCTCAGAAAAAGATGGAAAATTMAACCAAACATAATTTTCAAATAACAAGGAGACAAGGTCTAAGAGCRCATTTATTGCTTATATTGTTAGAGGGATAGAGTACCTTAACTGCCAATTCCTTGCATGATTCAGAGCTTTCTTTACATGTACCATCACACCATTTACAGTCTATGCCAGGAATATTACATGAGCCACAGGATGATATCCTACTACACTCTTCTAAATAATAAATAAATAAATAAATGAATAAATAAATAAATGAACAAAATAAATAAATAAATAAATAAATAAATAAATAAATAAATAAATAAATAAATAAATGAACAAATGGAAAAATGAACAAAATAAATAAATAAATAAATAAATGGACAAATGAAGAAATGAACAAAATATATGAAAATATTTGAATCAGTAAACAAATGTGGATTGAAAAGGACAGCAAACAAGTGTAAACAATATACATCTGTGAAATACATGGTTAACAAAATATATTAAATTCTTAATATCAACATGATTTATAATTTTAATTACAATTTTAATTTTAATTAAACTAAATGTTTCACAGGTATATTGTTGGCACTATACTATTATATGAGCTAAAAAGCAATGTTTCTACAGTTGCAAACTGATACACAGCTTCAATATTCTCAAAATACTGTAGAATGATGAATTTACAAATGAGCAAAGTATATATAAATGATTTTTTACATCAATCAATCGATTCAAACTACCTTGACAGGATGGCTTGTCAAGAGTATTCAGCCTTCTRTAGCCRTTTTCAGGGTTGATGCATGCTTTCAGAGATCGGTCCCACAAACAGCCAGATAAGATGTAAGCAGAGTTGCATGATGGTCTGTCCTTCCAAAGAGAACAGTCWCCTAAATTAAACATTAAATATCAATCAGTCCATCAATCAATCCATCCACCAATCAATCACTAAATTAATCAATCATCCAATCAACTGATCAATCAATTCATTAATAAGTCAATCAATCAATCACTTAATTAATGAGTCATTGAATCAATGAAATGATCAACTGAACAATCAATTAGTTTGTTAATCAACCAATCAATCAATCAGTCAATCAATGAGTTAATCAGTATCAATCAATCAACCGATCAATGAGTCACTCCATTAAACAATCACTTAATTTAAATCAATTATTCAATCAACTGATAAATCAATCAATTAATCAATTCATTAATAAGTGAAACAATCAATCAATCATCCAATCAATCAATTAGTCCAAAGTCAAATAATCTACCAGAAAACCAAATCAATCCACCAGAAACCAATCAGCCCATCAGCTGACCTCCCAAACTGTCAACCCATCTGCCAATCAATTTAACAGAACACACTCGGTCAAACAAACAAGCCTTGTCATGACAAACACATGGCCTGAATCTTACCTAGAGAATAGCTCATCACRTTATTCTTCATTACACCATTGACACCACCAAATATCCATAACTTACTGTAAAAGAAAATGCAATAAACAGATTTTATAAGTTTGTAAATGTAGATACTTTGTTATATAATAGGCCATTTTTCAAAATGTGCCAAATTGTTGCCAATTGTGCAAGATAATTAATTAACATTTTAATTATCACACAATTTTTCCTGAATTTTTTTCTAAAATTTGGCCAGAGAGCCTTGTTTGCAATCATTAGTTTTATTCACAAAAAAAGAACCTGCAGTTGTTGAAAGTTGCTTTTACTTCTGATTGGTTCAAAATCAATGGCCATTTTTCATACATGAGAAAAATCGCACTAMAGTGTTCTTCAGAGCATGTGTTCATTTACAGCTTCACATCAAACACCCCAAAACAAACCTATTGTACACCACTGCTGAATGTCCAAATCCTGCAGTCTGTGGCTGTAGACTTTGAGGAATTGTTCTCCATTTGTTACATACTGCATTAAGAAGAGGGACATATTGTTACCTTGTGACACACGTAGTTATATAACATTTTTTACTAGCTTAATAATATCAGAATAAAAGTCTAATAAGTGTGATAGGATTTGTACTCTTTYAAAGGTCTAAAATTCGATGATTTCAAAGTCTTTTCCATGGTTTTGCAATGACCAAAATATAAAAAGCCCACTAGCACTTTGTGCATGTGACCTTGAAAAGGTCGTTATTTAGCATCGTTCTATTGATCAGCACCGGCTACTTCTGTAATCATTAATATAAAGCATTTCTTTAAATCTATTCAGGAATAGATGTCTTATTGTAAGACAACAAACAAGAATACTTTCAATATATTTCCATAAACCCCAACCGAATTCCATGACTTTCAAGGACCCATACAACTCTGTGTAATCCATCAAAATTACTTACAAATATCATAGACCATAAAAACTGTGTTGGGACATTTGGAMTCTTTGTCATCAGTAAATGYAATCCCTCCAAACACTAGAATCATATTACCAATTACGGCAGAAGAATGAAGGAAACGGGCTGATTTGCTACCTGATAGATATGTCCTGAAGAAAATATAGATCAACGTACATTAGCTGCTTTAAAGTAAGTTGGTGAGAGCTGCAATCCCGGACAAAACCCGGTGAGACACTGACATTATGATGCACAAAAAAACGTCCCATAAATTGTCATGTCCCAAAAAGTCACTATTTTTTAACCTTCCCCTCCCCCCACAAAACAATGTTGTGTTTGATGCGATGCTTGAAAGATGCCTAGTGAAAGGGTCATTGGGTTTGAGGGGAGGGGAGGATTTGTCCCAGTGTGGAACAACACTCTTACATGGTCTTAAAATAATCTAGTRGGAGATATTGTTTCTGCTAATGGTTACAGTATATCATCAGAAACCTATAAGGGACTTGAAACGTGTAGCACCCGTACGTTTCTTTAGTACCAAGCGTCGGAATATTCAAAGCTCATTAAAAATTTGAAAACGAACGTTATAACCATATTTGGAAAATTTGGCCATTGGATAAGAGATTTAAGGCCCATGTAATTGTTCCAAATAAGGAAATGAGATGCAAATTACATTTGAATTTTCCAATTATTTTCCCTTATAGGTTTCTGATATCATCACATCTTCTTATTTAAGGTCCTCCTTCAAGGTCCTCCTTCACAGCATTGAAGGAGGGGGTGGAGGTGTGGATGTTTGGGAGGGAGTAGGGGTGCATAAAACAAAAGCTGACATAATAAACTGACTGGCTCTTCAAAGGTGGTGACAGGCAGGGGACCCTGATTACTATTCATGCCCACCCACGTCAGGTKAAGATATTTCCCTGAAATGAGTTTGAAAATTAGCTCACCAGTGATTGGATTGCAGATTATATGAATATAAAGAATCAGAATATCCTGTTTTGGTCCTTCCACCATGTACATAAATTAATTGAGTGACTGGATCATAATTRCTAGTGTGCCCATAGGTGCCTTGTTTTGATGCAGTSAGAATCTCCCACCTACTGGTAGCTAAAAAAGATATAACATCATTATTAACCCTTGTCTACATTTTACTGGAGATACAGTAATTGCGCTATTACATAATTATGTCACACTAAAACATTCTATTGCTTTAACGCTAAGGATTATGAGATCAAAGTGACTGCATATTGAATAATATTATGTATATCAAAGCTCAATACACTTAAGTTCTACTTTCAGAAMGAATAATAAAAGGTCCAAACTTCAAGTTTTTCTGAGCATCTATCCACAATGTAAACATACTGTGACATCATTATGCCATATGGCAATTGTATYTGCAATTTCTCCTACTCAGTCTTTCAAGATCTTATCCAGCAGTATTAATACTTCTTTGTCAAAGAAAAGAAAMCAATAGGATTTAAGAATGAGGAAACAATGGGCATTGTTTTATTCCTACAATCACAAGAGACCTTTACAAACTCTCGCAGGTTAACAGATTTTTCGTACGCAAAGGTTTTTGAGAATAAATGTACGTCAATATTCATATTCAAAGACTATATACGTATTTTTACTCCAGTGACCATTTATGACTAATAGATACGTTAGGAACACTAGGTGGATATTGCCCTTATTAGGAAGAACACATAATATCAGGGTTCTCAATGGTAGTTTGTAGCTGATGAAAATCGTGAAAGTTTGTTACTTAGTTAGGTTTGAACTGCAGAAGCTTCATCTTCCTTATTATAAGACCAGCTGTCTACTTTTCTAGTGAGAGCCCTGATTTTTGTGTAACAATTGAATTTAAGAAAAGTATTGTTACACCTACCTAAATCATAGACTTGTACTCTATTTGAAAATCCAAGTGGTCCATAACCAAAAATAACTATCATTTTATTATTTACAATTGTTGCAGTATGTCCTGCTACTGCATTTGGGTTACCAGTCCCTTTTAATCTCGTCCATACTCTTGTGGAGGTATTAAACCTCCACAGACTATTGGAAGTGGTATCCTTATTTGTTATTCCTCCAAAAATAAACAATGATTTCTGAAAACAAAAGAAAAGAATTGATATAACTAACCAACCAACCAAGCTATCCTCTACCCACAAACTAACCAAGCAAACTTTCAACTGAACAACCAAACCACCCACCAATCAACCCACCACCCCCTCCATTAACAAACAAATCCACCAGCCTAACTGCCCACTCACCCACCCATCTGTCCATCAACAAACAAAGCCACCAAACTAACCACACACCAACCAACCCCTCCACCGACATATAAAGGCACCAATCAAACTACCCATCAACCCACAAATCAACCAACTCCTCCAAACAACCCCTTCACCAACAGATATATCTGTTGTAGTTCAGGTTCAAAATGATTTTGAACCAGTTCAATTTTTTTCTGAACTGGTTCAATTTATTTTGAGTCCAATATAACTCAATCTAGTACAAATAAGTTTAAGGTTAGGTTTAGGGTTAGGTTTAGGGTTAGGTTTAGGGTTAGGTTTAGGGTTGGGAATAGGGTTGAGCCAGCATTATATAAAAATTTTCAATTACAATTAAGATAAAAACAATTTGCAAACATTACTACCAACAAAATCCTTGATGGTATAATTGGTAGTACTGTGGACTATGAAGCATCTAGCTCAATGGTTCAAACCCTGATGAAGGTAAGTGTTATTCATAAAAATATAGCAAGTATCAATATTTCTGTGGGGTATAGGGTAAGATAAAGTAGGAAATAGTATAAGGTAGAAAATAAGATGATAGATAGAAAATGGGAGAGAATGAGATGGGATATAGTTCTTTTAGTTCTTTTAAGAATGCCAAAGCAAAAAATAAGACCAGTTGTACAAGAAGTCTTGTACCTGAACAAATTAGATTAAACTGGTTCAAAAATATATTGAACCTGAACTACAACATATCCAACAACCAAGAMACCMACCAACCAACCAAACCACCCATAAATCAATCAACCAACCCATCCATCACCCCCATCAACGAACCAACAAATCTACCAACCAAACCAAACACAAACCCATCAATCAATCAACCAACCACTACCCAATGAACAAAACCAATTTTCAAGAATCTATTGACAGCTCAAAATTTCTTTAAATTGATTGTAATAAGGACAGAAATATCACTTTGGCAGGATGATGGATGTGTTTGCAACATCTTGTATCAAAACCGAAATGCTATGCCTATTGTACATGAATATCTTGGTGATATCTGATTGTAACATAAGTAGTTGCTAGGTGACCCTATGATATCACAGCAAAGACAAGCAGCTTAATTTGAAAGAGGTTCACTTTCCTTCTTAAAAGAATCGTTCACAGGTCGGAGCCTCTGAAAGCAACTAATACCAACTCAAAGCTCAACAAATACAACAAGTTGRAGCAAACAGATTTACAACCATCCTATCAACTATTCTACAAACCTGAGCAAATAGACACACCAACTATCAACCAGCAAACTGACAAAHATTGTTTTATCAATCAGTGAAACTGCCTCAAATTATCCTATCTAGATATTATTATTATAATACTATTTGTATAAACCACTTGAAATGATTGTAACTTCCAATACACTTTCCATACTTACTTTATAAACAACAAGAGAAAGACCATATTTAACGCTTGGTCTGTCAGCTATACTTGAATTAGAAACACTAACTAATTGCCATATATTTCTTGAAAAACTATACCTGTTGAGAAATACAAAAAAATGATTACTGTTCCAGTGAGTGATAATAAYAGATAGTCATTACATACCAACTAYTGGGCAGTAACTATTTATGTTTTATTTCATGGACATAGCATAACATCCTCGGGAACCCTGGGAGTGAGGAACGAACGACTGAAAATTACCCCTGGGTTCCCCAGGATGATAGCATAAGCAATATCACAATTATCATCTAGTGGTGTAAATTCCTTGTGACATTGATCTCTGGGTTTATGTGGAACTGGTCATGACAATTAATTGATAATTACATTAAAACTGTTGCACATTGCTTTCTATACCTAATGATTCTATTTAATGGTCTATCAGCAATTGTAAAACCACCATATATCCAAAGCCAGTTGCCTATGATGCCAGCACCAGATGCCCCTCGACTCTGGGCTATATCTGAAATAGTCACAAATATCATAATGAGCTCTCCTGAACAAGAAAATATCGCAATAAAAGGCAATATTAGGCAATAAAACTTTTCTAGAAAGCCAATTTCAAGTATATAGTATATCACACAGGGTAGAGTGTGATGTTWAAGCAGTTGCAAATGTAAAACACCAGTCCATCTATGCAGTGGYCCTGGTTTKATTCCTGATTGTTACAATATGTGATTTGAGGTTGTAGCCTCTGGTTCCCTCCCTTGGAGGGAATTTCTCCAGGTACACTGGTTTTCCTCACTCAGTCAAAAWCTACAAGTTGTATRCTCAATGCTGASGTAGAGCGTGTCRGGCCGGGTCCCCCCAATTTGTAGGATAATYGTTGTCTTGCTTGAATGATTGAGACATCTTATTTATTATTCTATTACTGATAATCCATTTTGTTAAGCTGAAGTCGAATAAGTGTTCATAAAAAACATTTGAAATCACAATGTTTATAATTTGATTGAAAATGAAATACATTAATATATAATTTCCATGTACCTTGGTTTATTGCCACATGACTGGTCCATGCACCATATTGACTGCTGATATTACACGACTGACCTACAATAAACAAATTGTTTTGATGATCAGAAGATGCTGTCAAATAAAACAGGAATTATTCGCTTTGAATTCAAAAATGAAGTATCAATTTTTCATAGGTAATCTTTGCCCAACCAATGTATGGACCATTATTTAGAAGGATTATTTTTAAAAGTCCCCAACCAATGTATGGACCATTATTTAGAAGGATTATTTCTAAAAATCCTCATAAAATACCAATGCCCTTTCTTGTTTGTTTGATGAAGTCAATGAAGAGACATTCTTGAACAATTCTGCCCAGTCAAGGCTTTGTGATTCAACCTCAAAAAGATATATAGTTATATATTTTTTCATAGCTATGGATTATTACCAGAATAGCCAATTTGGCAATCACACTGCCATGTAGATGTGTTACAGGTTCCATGTACACAAGTGTAAGGACATACTTTAGTACTACAGTGTTGTCCAGTCCACCCTGGATCACATGAACACTTCCTACCATTATAGCAAAAACCATGGGAACCACACGACCATGAACAATTATTTATACTGTGAAAAAAATATGAATATCAGTGAGGCAAATTGAGTGAAAAACAAAACAAAACAAACAAAATGAAAAAAAAATCTACAAATTATAATTCTGCATTCATTTAAACTACCAAAGACCCTTGTTCTTCTGAGAACCTTTGCAAAATCTTTGGTTTACAAATGATATTATTATATATCAATTGTCAAAGTTTACTTTTCCTAGTATCTCATTGGTCGAGAGTGTACCACGTGAAAGTTACAAAATTTTACTGTTTCCCGGCAACTGTCCACCAACTGTATAATATAATATGTTGTGGACCGTCAATAAGTACAAAATCAGCTTCGCTTCGGGAAACATCAGCGGTCTCGGGAGCACAAAACATACTGTTTCCCTCGGTTCCAGTAAATAAGTGTTAAATATATATTATTATTATATTAATATATATTAGTTACCAGTAGTATAGATGAGTACTATGTAACACACTCTACCAAACCAAGAATTTCAATAAAAAACATTATAAAAAAGACAGGGCTTACCTATATCTTAATTTAAATCCACTATTTATATTATTTGAATCTCTAAAAAAATAAATCAGCACTGAACTTGAACTTGTCCTGATCCAACCAGTGACACTKTGAGCAGTGCAGTTTTCCTTGGCAATGCCCCTAAAATSATTGAAAAAATGTTATACAGTAGATTTGTTAAAATCTGATTTGAAGAGAATGCACCCTATGGTTTCAAAGTAAAATTTCACATTTTGCAGAAATTTGTGAACAAAAAAGTAATTCAATATTATAATATGTAAACCTAAAATGTACAATTTTATTGAACCAGAAAGAAAACATAAAAAAGGAAAGAAAGATATCCTTTCCTATCATTTATCAAATTCATTTTTAATAATTCATAAGGTAAACATAACGGGATAATCCTATGCATTTAAAACAATAGACAAACGATTTTAGCTATTTTGGCCAATCAGGAACATCCTTAAAACAACCAATCGTAATCAGGTAGCAAATTGTGTGCGGGGGGTCCCAGAACATGATATCTTGTTTTTTATTTATTTTTTCATTTACAGACTTTGCTCAGAGGCCGGGTTACCTAACAGAGCATAGCTCCATCAAAGGACCCTAAAGCACTTAWACGCAGATGTTTATTGTAGAGAATAAACCAGATGTCTGCAGGCTAGAATTGATAAGCAATATAAAATTATTATTTGTGTCTGTCCTTTATGGGTTTTATTTCACAGYTTTGAAATCCTCACAAATGTCTCATGCTCATATCTTATACATAATTAATTACAAAGAAGCATAGCCAGGCAGTTGCTTTCAAAGTTAAATATTATTTAATAGAAGTATAACCAGGAAAATACAATAATGAATGTTTATCAATTTACAAAATTTAGAGTGCAAACTTTGTTGTAATTAAAATACACTCAATTATTACAATGTTACTCTTACATACCCAAAGGCAGCCAATAAAGGTGCTCGAAATGAAGAGCCATTATATATGTACAGACTGTACCAAGGTGAAGTTGACCAAAACTGATCCACACTCAACTGGATAGTAGAATTTGCCCTAATTAGACAACACAATGTAGTTATATTACAGAAAGTCATAAAATCTATTAATTCACACAACATAAATGATTGGCAGTGATCTAGACTAAATATCAAATAAACACAACTCAATATAGAGCTGGACTTTATTAGAACAGGTGT